CTCCCAAAGGCTTGAAAGCCTGTTTCCATAAGGAAACAATTTAGATTTTAAATTAAATCATTGAACAACTTGAAACTTATATTTCTATGGCATGTATGCATTAAATTTCCAACTTCACTACCTCCCCAAATAGGCTATCATTATTTCAATACATTTCCTGCATGCTTTATCTGTGGTTCATGGTGGCATGGCCACAATTGTATCATAAACTTTTATATATTTGGACCAGTCCTGGACTTTCATCTCTGCTTTATCAATCCTTCTATCCCTTCATTTTCACTTTATATTTCATTATTATTTTATTCAATTTTTGTGAATTTTGTGCTATATATTTGATCATATTTAGACCTCACTCCCCTGTTGACATGCCTTTTATAGACTCCCACACTAGATTTCATGTATTTTGTTATATGCATTAAGGACTATTGAGTCAAATTTGTATACCCAAATGCCCCTTTGGTGTGCATCCATCCACTGGAACCTGGTTACTTTCATAGCATCACACCCTTAAAGAAAATCAATTCTCTCTCTCCTGGTAATTATCAGTTGTCAGTAGCTTCTCAGCTAAGGTTGGGGATTCTTACCTGCTTTCCCACTTCTATGTTGGAATTTTGTCTGGTTTGAGTTTATATGGATCTTTTGCATGCTGTTACCATTGCTGTAAGTTCATCTGAGTAACTGCTTAGCTATCTAGAAAACTCTGTTTCTTGTGGTCATCTACAACTTCTGGTTCTTAACAGTCTTTCCACCCTCTCTTCCACAATGGTCCTTGAGCCTTGGGTGGCAGAGAGATTTGATAAAGGTGTCCTATACAGGGATAAGCAGCCTGTAATCTCTTATTCTCTGCACTCAGCCAGTTGTGGCTTTCTGGGTTATTCACTCTCTATTGCATGAGGAAGAATCACTGGTAAGAGTTGAGAAATGCATTAATATTCTTTTTGTCCCCTGTTCCACTATGTTCCCTGAGCCTTAGGTGTAGAGGTTTCATTGTAGATGCGTTACTTAGAGTTGGATACCTTATACTCTCTGCATTTTAGTAGTTGTGGACCTTTGTAATAGTCTCCATCTGTTGTACAAAGAAGCTTCTTTGATGAATGATGAAAGGTACACTTGTCTGTAAATTGTAGGATGCATATTTAGAATATAGTAAGAAATTACGTTGGTCTAGGGATATGACAAAAGTAGATGCTTCTCTAGGGTCTGTGCCATCCTCGGGCATGCTTGCATATTTGGCTATGTTTACAGTACCACACGAGTTTCCTCCCATGTTAAAGGCCTTAAGTCCAATTAGATAGCTGTTGATTATCCCCAAGAAAAAACTGTTACTACTGCACAAGTAGAGATTATGTGCTGGGCTGGTCATTGTATATCACTTCATTTTCTAGCACCACACAATTTTATTACAGTTTGTGATTTTTTAAAAGTATTTTATTCAGGTTTGACATGTAAAAAGCCCAATATGGCCAATGCATAAATCTTGGTGAGTATTAGAATAGTTTTAACACCAGTGAAATCATTACTATGAAGGTTACAAGTGTGTGTTTATCACTTTCTTCTTGCTCCTTTATTACTGTATTACCACTGTTATAAGTAATATTATTTTGTGGCAAGAGTACGTAACATAAGATTTACTCTTTAAACAAATGTTAGCTTGCAGTATAGCTTTGTTATCTGTAGTTCTACGCAGTACAGTGGAGCTTCAAAACTTATTCATCCATGATTGAAACTTTGTACCATTTGACCATTGCTTCTCTATTTCCTGCTTCCTCCAACTCCTAGCAACCAGAATCTCTGCCTTCCATGAGCTTGACCATTCCAGATTGCACAGAGGAGACTACATTATTTTTGCCTTTCTTAGTCTGGCTTGTCTCTGTTAGCATAATGTTCTCCAGGTCCACCTATGTTGTCACAAGTAGCATTATATTCTTTTAAAACACTGAATAACATTCTTCTTTATTTACCATACTTATATAATCTATACATATTAGTATATTTGTGTCATCTACACATCTATTTATCCTTCCGTTCATTCATTGTTGGACAACAGGCTTTGCAGTACCCTGGGTATTGTGAACAATGCTGTAATAAACATGCAAGGTTGGTAACTGTTGGGGATACTCTTTTAATAGATTTTACAACACTGAATTACCTTCTCTTCTGTAGTAAAACTAACTTAGTTTGGATGAACTTCTTTCTAATATGCTGTTTTTTGTGCAAGATGCTGTTTTTTGTGCTATTGTTTTAAAAATTCCATATTTATATATTTGTGAGTGGCGTTGGAAGTTTTTGGGCTGTAAATCTATTGTGAAATAGTCTTTCCTCTCCCATTCCCTCAAACAAGGAGCTTTGGTATTGTCTAGTCCATGTTTCTTTTTATTCGTAGGCTGGTACTTCAGCTGGGGGACAAAGGCTGTATCATCACTTTTTTATTACATACTCTTAGCTGCTCTTTAATATTTTCTGTAGTAATTTATTACGTACTACTTAGCTGCTTTTTAATATTTCTGGAGTAATGTTTAGTAATCAATATTTCCTTAGGGAATACTTTATTATATTAAGTTCTCTAACTTATTCCCATACTGTAGAGTGAATTATTTTCTTAGTCATTTACTTCTTTTGTCCCACAGTATTCTTTTTTGTGATAAGATAGTGAATCATAAAATGATATAAAAGGATATCAGTGCTTTTCAGTGAATAATATTTTCAAATCATAAAATGATATGAAAGCATTATCAGTGCTTTTCAGCTATAAAACATGAGATACTGGATTTATTAATTTATTTGAAAATATTCTAGTTAATTGATTTTAATTAGATAAAATAACATTACTTCATTCTCACCTTAAAGTTATTATCTCCTGAAACATAGGCTTCATTATTATTCCTATTATTTTGTATTAATATCAATATTTATTAAGGTAAATATTATTAAGAAAATGCTTTAGTGTAGTTTAATGCTTTTCTAAAAGAAGGTATAGAATATTATTTTATGCATATCTGCAAATTTTGTTTATATTTTGTCTTTAACAAATGGTGGTTTAAATGATGTTTACAGACCTAAGTGGTAGGACCTAGAGGTTTTCTAATTTATATGTGGGTTCATTCTATGAAGGAGATACCCTCTAAAACCCCTTCCCTTGTCACTCCTGTAGAGGTGCCCAGTTTCTAAGGAGTACATATTGCAGAAGCAGAACCAAACAAGTAAGCAAACAACGGCAAAGGAAAACCCCAAAACAAATGAACAAAAAAACCCTTTAATTGTTTTGACTCTGGGTATGTTTTGTCAGAGTTTTTAAAACAAAATTTCATTTCTGAATGAATTTAGTTAATCTTATAGTCACATTGAATTATTCTATGACTTTTAAAAGTACATTAAAAATTAACCAGTCATGGTTTATTTAGCCATTACTGTTACTATTGTCTTTATTTTATGTATTTATTGCTGTATTTTATGAATAGTGACGAGGTCTCATCTGGAAAACAAGTCTTCTATGAAAATTTTACATTTCTGCACAGTCCAGTTCTTCTGAGCCAAAGTATTTATGGCTATTACATTGAAAAGTATTTGTATAAAGAGTTATACCAGATATATCACTCAGGAATGTGTCCTTTCCTGGAGATGGTCCACAGTGCTAAAGATGAAGATGTGTCTCTCATTTCTAGGCAAGTGTTGTTAACATTTAAAAGTAGAATTAAAGCTTATCTCCACAGAAAGGTGGATGGATAGGGTACCAACAATGCTGAATAAGACCAGTTTCCTAATTTGGGGGTTTCTTTCCAGAAATGCACAGTAGTCCAAGTCAGTGCCATCTGGGTTTCCCTTGGAATGCTTTGGCTGCCTTACAGTGTCATAGTCCCTGTACCAATTTGTATAATCTTGGCCTTCTGGAAACATTGTAAAGATAGCAAATGCTATTCTGGAAAAATTTCCATTGAGTACTTGCTAACATGAAACTGATGATTGAGATGGGGCGGGAGAGGTGGATGGGGTCTTGGCCTTTGTGTCCAAAAGGCTTAGGTGTGTGCCTGTTCTTTTATTTTCTCACGTGTAAAATTATGAGGCTGATTTTCCTTCACATAGTGGTACAGATGAAGAAACAGCCCTGTCTCAACACCACGATAATCTTTTTTCCCAAATAAAATGGTTTTGAACCTAAAATGATTTTTAAATCTGAGCCTTGAGTCCTGTGTCTCTTATTTTTGCTTTTTGAGACTGAGGAGTGTTATGCATCAACTATGGATGATTAAGTCTGGTCTTCATTGGATTTTTTCCCCTTAAGTATTATACCTTTAAGGGATACAGCTGGAGGATTATGTTACCAGTAACAAAACTGATATGCATCAAATATTCCCAACTCCAGTGTCAATTTCTCAATTATTAGGAAAACAGGATGGGAAGGAAGGATACTGGAGTCTAATGGCCCAGCATCTATGAGGATTTCCTCCAAGGCTTTTCCTGTCTTACCCTTCTCTGCCACATGCAGTACCTAAAGAAACGATGTGCAAAGACTTCCACCAGAACAATAACAAAGACAAGCGGAGACAAAGAACTTGTTTTATTCTCAAGAGAATCTTAGTAAAGAAGACCAAATCAATTTCCCTCTTTATTGTATAACTGATGGAATTACTTACACAACATTGGCATTGTTTTCTTCACTGTAAGTTTGTATTTCTTATTGCTGCTATTTCCAAAGAGGCTTGTAAATATGAACAAAAGTAATACCAGATAGTAAGATGCCTTAGAATTTTATTTATTGGGAGTGATAGGGTGCCTGTTTAGAATATGAGAGATCCTGGGTTTAATTCCCAGCACTGAAAAAACAAGCTCATTTATTTAATAATTTGGCATTTTTCCTAGCTTTTCAGATGCTGTTGGTAATTAAGGAATGTCTTTGTATGTCATGAACATTTGCCACATCTCCCAGTTTTGTACATTAACTAATCACAGAGCCCTACTGATGTTCTCGTTGAGTCATATTAACATGAAGACCAAGTTTTCCACTAGAAACACTTGTTTCCTATGTGTTTTAGGGCTTTGATCACATCTTGGTTTCTTAGGCTGTAGATGTAACATGGGCATATAATAGCATAGACCACAGATGCCACCTTCTCCTGCTCTTGAGACCTGTTGGTCCCATGAAGTACATACATATAACAGACTGTTCCATAGAATATAGTGACTGTGGTCATGTGGGATGCACACGTGGAGGAGGCTTTTCTCCTCCCTGCAGCAGAAGACATCCTCAGGATGGCAGCCAGGATATATGTATAGGAAAAGATGATGGACACAGAAAAAGTCAAGTTAAAGCCCACAAAGACTGTCAGCACCATGATATTGGGGTTGATACTAGAACACGATAGGGCGAGAATTGGCGGTACATCACAGAAAAAGTGATTAATTCATTGGATTTGCAAAAATTTGATAAGAAAGTAAAACTTGTGTTTACTGAAGCATTTAGGAAGCCCATAGTATATGAACCAACCAGGAGCAGAATGCAGAGTCTCCGGGACATGATGACAGGATAGTGCAGTGGGTTACAGATGGCCACGTAATGGTCCACAGCCATCACAGCTAGGATGAAGCAGTCACTGGTTATAAAAGTACCATAGACACATAATTGCATTGCACATCCTGTGAAGGAGATGGTTGGTTTTGTGGTCATAAAATTCTGCAGCATCTTAGGAGTGATGGCAGAGAAATAAGAGAGATCAACGAAAGACAAATACTGGAGGAAAAAGTATATGAGAGTGTGCATGGAGGAATGGAGATTGATGAGCAGGATCATGCCAATATTCCCTACCAAGGTGGCTGCATAGATCACGAGAAATACCACAAAGAGGATGTGTGAAAGCTTGTGTTGACCAGCAAATCCCAGGAGAACAAATTCAGTCATGTCAGTGCCATTTCTGTGTCCCATGGTCAGTAAAAACCAAGTCTCAGCTGAAAATCGCCCAAGAAACAATAGAAGTAATAAGAACATTGTGACTGTTGAACCAACTCTGGATTTGGAGATATAACATTTGTTTTCATAATGTGTTCCAAGAATATTTTATGTGTTTTTGGTGCATGTATGTAGATGTGTACTTGTATACGTGTGCATGTGTGTGTATGTACATTTGTGGGTGGCTGTATGTGTGTGTGTGTGTGTGTGTGTGTGTGTGTTTGGGTGCTTGTTCATGTGTGTACATGTGCGTATGGATGCCAGAAGTCAACCTTGAGTATCATTTGTCAGATGTCATTCACCTTGGGTTTTGAAACAGAGTTACCTGAAACTCACTGAATCTGCTAGGTGGACAGGCAATTGAGCCCAGTTGATTCACCTGCCTCTGCCTCTGCAGTGCTGGGAACATAGGAGTGCACTACCATGCCTGGCATTTTGTTACTTCTCTGCTAGGGATCTGAGCTCAAATCCTCATGCTTGCACTGCAAGCATTTTACTGACTGAACCATTTCCCCAGAGCCTCAGAGAACATTTTCTATGACATATTTCCCCCATTTCAATGTTGAACCTTAGTACTCAGTCAAGATACTCTCATCTGCATTTTGAGGAAACCACCACTGACCGGAAGCTGTGTTCTCAGCTAACTGTCACTTTTTCAGTGATACGTCAGTTAAGAAATATGCAAACACCCTTATCTCATGAACTGAGTGTTTTTACGCTAAATGTTTTCATTAAAATACTGTTCACACACTGATTATTGTATATGAAAACGTCAGCCATGCAGTTCTGTATGATCTTGCTATAGCTTATTTGTACAGCCTCCTTTTGCTCCTCTCCCTCCTTACCAACTTTGCTGTAACCATGGACTCATGGCACGTTCTTAAATGTGTTTACTAAAGCACCAATGGAAACTGATTATTTACAATAGTTTCAAAATTTTATGAAAAACAATGCAATATGTCAGCCTTGTCAGAATAATAGTTTTACGTTAAAAACCACTTCCTGTTTTTACCTCATCACAGATTCCGTAGTGTCAATGGCCTGATGCTGGTTACACAACCACTTCAGTAGCTGTGCTACTCTTCTCTCACCATTCGCCCGTCTTCTGCTAGTGATGAGACACTGGTCACAGCTTGTCTTTGCTGCAAGTAACTCACTGTGAACATTTCTCTGTGACATATTCCTGGGAACAGAATTGCCAGGTCTGAAGGTGCATCACACATACTTGATTTTCCCAAGTATTGCCAAGGCACTGTTACCTGCTGTAATGATGCACAGGCGACACTGGGAACCCCAGTGGTTTGCTCTCCTTATACCATTGCCTCCAGAGTCTTCTCCTGCAGCAGGCGCAGGCTGATGACCTGTCAAGGTCTCTCTGAGTGTTCTGTCCATGAGGGAGTTCATACTGGGGGCATAAGGGATCAATACTCCCTTGAGAATCTGAAGTGTCAGGTACCAAGGTGGATTTGGAAAAAACAATGCTCCCAAGTTACATTTTACTGAATAAATAAAAAATTTCTAGAGAAGCCAAAGAATTTTTCCCTGTATTTTCACTATGGCTTTTTGCTTGCTTTTGTTGTTATGTTGCTTTTATTTAATAATTACTTTTTTCCTTTTTATATAGGTCAGGTTGAGACTCTTTTCAAACACAAACCTAAGAAACTGTGTTGAGAGTCTGGAGAGATGGTTCAGTGGTTAAGAGCACTGATTGCTTTTGCAGAGGACCTCGGTTTGGTTCTCAGCAGTGACATGGTGGTCAATAATCATCTGTTAACTTCAATTCCAGGGAAATCCAACATTCTCTTCTGGCCTCTATGGGAATTGCATGACACAGGTGCAAAACACTCATATACCTAAAACAAATAAATCCTCCCCCCAAATTAAAAAAGAAGCAGTTTAGGAATATATATATCCTTGCCACTATAATCATTTAAAAAATCCTGGCATTATGAAAAACATTTAAATATGACCTAAATGTAAGGGCATATAGTATCTGGTGTTGCATTAGAGATATAGCTATTTAAGGAAACTCCACACTGATTTACATAGTGGCTGTAGCAGTTTAGACTCCCATTAGTAGTGATTAAGGGTCCTCTTTCCCCACATCCTCATCAGCATTTGTTATTTGTTTTCTTGATGATAGTCATTTGATAGGTGTTAGATGGAATTTCAAGGTAGTGTAAATTTGCATTTCTCTGTTGACTAATGATGTTGAACACATAAAAAATATTCATTAACCATTTGTACATCTTCCTCTTAGAACTTTGTTCAAATCCATAGCCCAATTTTTGATTGGGTTGTTTGTTTTCTTGACACATTGACTTTCATAAAAATCACAGTTCTTAGGAGTTGATTTAGTATTCTGCCTATAGCAGAATAAAAGTAGTAGGCCGTCACTTACTGTTTGTGATCTGTCTACCCATAGGTTCTTGACCCTGACAATAGTATCAGCTATGGGCTGCATCTTGTGTAGTGGGTCTTTAATCCAGTCAGAAGTCAGTTAGTCATTCCCATAACATTCAGTCCACTAGTGCACCAGTGGGCATATGTACTAGGACAGTCTCTAGCGTAGCTTGCAGGGTTCACAGCTGGGTAAGCGAGGATCTACTGGCAATTGATAGCTACTGGTAGAGGGGGAGTCAGTTTTATTTAAGTGTATAGAACCTGGTAGGTTAGCCAGAATTCACTGGAGGAATCCACACCCAAAACCATTTGGGGAACACAAATTAGATTCTATAGGGCTTTAAAAAAGAAAAATAATAATAAAGGACATAAAGTCAGGAGAGTAATAGTGGAGGTGAAGTTGGGGAAAGGGTCTGAATATGAAAATACATTGTATGAAATGCTCAAAGAATCAAGAAAAGTATTTAAAAAATAAAAATCATAGTTCTCTTAGAAAAGAGCAAGAAGTGAACTCTGTCTCTTTCTGTCTCTGTCTCTGTCTCTCTCTCTCTCCCTCTCTCTGTACATTTTGACACAGCTAAGAATATATATGGAATAAACTCATCATTTTTCTATGTCTGAAGCCATTCTCTTCTCTATGTCATCTTGTCCCAAACAGTTTGGCAAATGATACCATGTTATTAATGAAACCATGTTATTTTCCTCAGGTCTAGCTAGACTTACACTTTCATATGGTTAGTCTTTTTTCTCATTATTGATTTTAAATCTGATTGACAACTTGAGCCTCTGTTCTAATGTAAGAGGCAGTTGTTGAGTCTAGTAGTTAGTTCTTACAAAGCATGGGCTGCCAGGAAGGCAGTTTGTACTAGGCAGCTGGTAGTATACGCCCCCACTAAGTGAACACATCCATTTCATCTGTGTGCATTCTTTGTTCGCTTATTTAAAAATGACTTTAATGAATATCTCATAAATTCATGATAATAAACCTATGCTGGGCATAAATTAATGCTTTTTGTCTTAACAGAGATTCAACTTGAGACATATGTCTATCTATCTATCTTTCTATCAAATTGGAGCAGGCGGGGGAGTTGACAAATGTGCTGTTCGCGGTTACGTCATCTGTCTTTGCTAACTTCCTGCCTGGCTCCCAGGCACCTGGTATTTGGGATCACTCTGTGAATTTGTTCAACAGGCTGGAGAGATAAACACCAGGGAAACAGGGTGTCATCCTCCATTATCTATCATCTATCTATCACCTATCTATTATCTATGTATCTATCTATCTATCTATCTATCTATCTATCTATCATCATCATCATCATCATCTATCGTCTATCTATCTATCTATCAACCATCTATCTATCTATCATCTATCTATCTATCATCATCTATCTATCTGAAATAATGAATAAAATCAGATCTGTTTTCAGAATAGAGTTTCCACAGAGTTATTTCAGAATATTGTCATTCAAAAAGTTTACCTTGGTCTTTGGTGACAAGAATTATATTGGAGCTTGATAATACATAATTAATAGGGAAATCAATGGGAATTCCATTGGATGCTAAGAGCACTTAGAGTGAATTAGATAAGTGTCAGCTCAGATGGTGCTTTAGACAGTGATGGGGTGAATGAAGGCAGCAAAGGAAAGCGTTGGAGGCCAGTTTTCTGATCCACTGCAAAGCAATAAGTTCCTACTTGCAATAAATGATTTTTCAGGTGTTCTAAAGCTTTATGTGTAAATAAAAATGATTGGTAATGCTTTTTGTAAATTAATTATCACTGGTATGCTTTTAGAACCACATTCTAGATTATCTCAATTGAGACAGAAATAGTAAGTATTTGTGGCATTACTCCTGATAGGGAAGACAGAAAGAAAATCAAGGGCTGGAGACATGGCTCAGTGGTTAAGAACACTGGTTGTTCTTGCAGAAGACCCAGGCTCACATCCCAGCACCCACATGGCAGCTAACTACTCTCTGTAACTCCAGTTCCAGGGGATCTGATGGCCTCTTCTGTCCTCTGCAGGCATTACACAACGTGGCTGTACTTATATGCAGGCAATACACTCATACACATAAAATAAAATTAAAAAAGAAGCAGAATAAAATTAAGAGGCAATTAATGAAGAAAGCGTTTTCAACCACATTGAAATGTATTAGAACCACATTCTTATCTCACTTGGGATAGAAATTGAAAGTATTTGTGCATTACTTCTGATAAGGAAGACAGAAACAGAATCAAAATAAAGAGGTAACCAATGAAGAAATCAGTGTTTTCAAGCCCTGTGAAATGTAACAGACATGGGAACACAGGGTGGAAGGGAGAACTAGAATCATGAGACAATTTTAAAATACATACATTTACTTCACATTTAGATTTTCACAATAATTTGAGTAGAATTGCAAAAGACTTCTTGTAGGTCATTTCAGGAACTTGATTAAAGTATGAAAAAATAATAAACTTCAATGATAAGAATGATTATGTGAAAAACGGATTTTTATAGCCATTAAGACATATTTAAAGTATTCCAAATAACATTTTATAAAGTTTATATATGCTTGCTGGTAGCTCT